CTGGAGAATATGGTGGGTGGGGGAGAACTTCCCAACCCAACTCCACAATCTTGTGTTGTGTCATGGAGAAGAAGAACACCTTTCTGATTGACGAGGGCAGGGTGTTTATGATGAAGGACTTAATTTAAATGTTCCAGGTGCTGACTATAGATCTCTGCATTGACAGTTCGCTGTGGATTGAGAAATTCGAAATGAATTACTCCTTTGATGTTCCACCAACTGCAAAGCATCATTTTCTGTGGATGGAGTCCAGATTTTTGAGTTGTAAGTGGTTTTTGTCTAGGACTAAGCCATTGTTTTTGGCATTTAATATTCGCATAGAGAATCGATTTTTTCATCACCAGTGACAATTCTGTCCAAAAATGGTTCACTCGCATTACGCGCCAGAAGAGATGAAGCAACATTCACATGTTGGAAATGATGGTCATCGGAGAGTTCATGAGGCACCCAAACACCTTCTTTATGGAGTTTTCCCACATTTCTTAGATGTTTACGTATTGTTCCATGAAGTGACATGCAATTTCAGGGCCATTTCATGTGTTGCCTTGGGTTAGACTCAACAAGCGTCTTCAGAGCATCAGTATCAATTCCAACATGTCCACCACTGCCATCACAGTTTTTAAGGCTAAAGTCATCATCGTTGACACTTACGAACATTCAAAACATTTCCATAAACTTCTTTGATATTTTTTGTGGCTACAGAGGCATTGTTTCCCTTCTTGTATTTAAACAGAATTACATACTGAATATGTGTCTCGTCATGCGCCATCACCATAAGGGATTAGAGTATACTAAACTTCACACATTATATAGGCTACACTGATGTGACATTTAGGTGGTTCATTTAACTATTATACATGATGTACGTTTTTTGGGGTGTAATGAAATGCGACATTAATTTCTTGATGACCTAATATATTCATTAAATGGTATTTTTTATATACAGAGTGGGGCAAAAGTCATGTTCTATAGGAATTTTAAATAACAATAAAATGAATTTTTTTTTGTTATTCACAAATCCCTATGGGGTGCAACTTTTGCACCACCCTATATATGTAGTTCAGTTTATATATTTTTATTATAATCAAATATCAATAAAACAGAAGTAAACAGACAAGAAGCTAAATCCAAAAGTCATATATCAATGTATGATATAGTAAACATAAGACAGAATCAGATTTCATGAGAAAAGGTTTTTATAATGATTTTTGATTAATTTCATATATATGTTGAGTTTTATGTTTTATTAACTAGGCTGTACAGATTATACTTTAACCTCACCAGCAACTTGGTGTTGTACATATCCTTTTGTTGTTTTACACAGTTTTTAAACATAAAGGTTCTCCATTATTGTAGGATGTAGAGAGTGCTGGGCTGAACATGATTTCTAACTCACATTTCTTTCTGTGTTTGTGTAGTGATTGGTTTTGCCACCAGTGGATGTGTATGTCGAGTGTGAGTGACTGTGTTTAAATAAGTTCTAGTCAGTATTGTTTTGATCATGTCTGTATATGCAGTTTTGTTTGTAAAATTTATGTTGTATCAAGCTCAGGTAAGTCTTGTGCATTTTATTTTGTTGACTTGTTTATTGATTTGCACTGTTTAATTTGATGTACTGAAATTTATTTTTGTTGTGCTTTGCTTTTTAATGACACACACACACACACATATAGATGAATTTTATATCCACCATTTTTACAGTATCATTGTCCACTATCATTCACAGTTTTATTCCACTTTTCATACATAAAACACAAAATAACATTTTTCTTTATTAATCCTTGCCCTGCTAGGGGTTTCTCTGATGGAACAAAGCAAAATCATTCAATAGATAAAAGACTGATCAAGTCATGAAAGGTCTAACAAATATCGTTTTGAACATTATTATTAAATTATCCATGACCTGAGACTAAGATTTTTAATTTGAAATTTATTACAATTGTAGATATTATGATATTGAAAATTGAATAAGAAAATAATTTGAAAAAAACATAGAACAAAACTTGTGAAACTAAAATTAAACTCTCTGTAAAATTTCATTAAACTTTGTGAACTTACCTTATGGCATGATCAACTGTCAAATACTTTATTTTGGTTACAGTCATGCTAGGAAATTATAATTTGTTTAGGTACATTTAACTATATGTGTATGTCCATAATTTTTCTTAACAAGAACTGGTTGAGACCTTGTACTTCTACTAAACACTCATGCTTTTGCACAGTACCCCAGTCAGTGCTGGAAACTTAAGTCAAAATAAATGTTCACATTTTTCCCCCTTGAATACACATAATTTTTTCTTATTTAAAGAGAGCCTTTTTGCATATCATGTAAATTAAATTTATGTGCAAAACTGATCTTATGCAAACTGTTATAAACAGTAATGGTGTTTTTTTGTCAGTAGTTTTCAGTTTTTGTAAACAATATAACCTATTTATGAACCTTTTAAAAAGCCACCAACTTTTTTATTTATTTTTTAAAATTATGCCAATCAAAGATACATATTGCTTTGTAATAGAGCTGGGTGATTAACTTGATTAATTGATGTAATCAGTTACATATGAGCATCAATTTCATTCATTAGTCTCATGTAAAGTAATTGATTAGTCAAAATTGCTATTGAATCAATTAATCTCATGAAAATAATCAATTCATTGAAATGAGTGTTTCTGTTTGTTACTGTTTTCAGTCATTTCAACTATTGAAGTAATCAAACTATAGCCATTATGGTTTATCATTATTGTTATTTTTGATTAATTCAGAGTTATTTAGTCTAATTGGTTACTGTCACAACTCGTGAAAATAATCAACCAATCAAAATTTGTGTTTCTGATTATTACTAATTTCAATTATTCCACCTAAGTTTCATGTTAGAGTAATCAATTAGTTGAAAGTAATAGATTAATGAGCCCAACAATTAATCATTTAGCCAATTTCACTAGTCACCCAGCTCTGTTTTAAGTATATTTTCTGAAATCAAAACACTAAAGACAGTATACATGCAGTCTGTTTAATAGTGCCTTCAGTCAGCAAGTATCATATTACTAAAAAAAGCTAAGACTCTCAATTTAAAAACAATATTCTCCTTGTCAATTCATTGAATAGTTAGGTTTGTAATCATACTGTTATTTTTCATGGATATTTGATGCTGTTGATTGACAGATGTAATACAGTTTATCTCTACATATGCTTCACTTGTCCAAAACAATACCTAATCTATGCAATAATACCAGCACTTATTTAAAGTAATCAGCACTAAAAATATGTTTTAAGTATTATAAAAAAAACCTACATTAGTTATAACAACATATCTCTTAAGCTTTATTTTACTTTTTTTTGCATGTGAAGTTTTATTTTCAATATTTATTTTAGAGAGCTAGACAAAACAACATGTTAACAATATTTGTAAAAGTAGCCTATTCCACTGTTTGCAGTTTCAGCTCTCTGTTGTTGTTATCACTTTCTCCTGCTTCCTTTCTCCTTTCCTTGTCTGAATGTCTGTGTGGAGACCGAGAGATTTGAACCTGCGGTGGCATCCAAAGAGGTTTACTAAGCAATTTTGGTTCATGAATGAATTTCCTGTCACCAAACTTGCAGAAGCACAGGGAGCAGACCAGGAGCAAGTAACATCAACAGTCTTGACATCAAGGACTTTCCTAGGAGAGCTTAATCTGACTGGGAAGATGGTTGGTGAGAAGACTAAAAAACAGATTCTGATGCTTTTAGACAATGAAAATCAGATAAGAGAAGAAATGAAAAAACCAGACACAGTGTTAACCTCCCAGGCTGTAATTGATAAATTTGGTTTTAATATAGATACTAGTAATACACCACTTACTGAAAGTCAGGCTCTATGTGTAACAGATACAGGTACAAGTCCAATACAGGCAGTATCGTGCACTGACAGAGGTATAAGCCCTATTGCAGTATATTCTCCAAGAAATGTTCTGTTTAGAGAACAACCCAGACAATATGTAGGTACTTCTGAGCTCCAGGTTCAAGGCACATTACAATTTGCAAATGAATTACCAGAAACATCACAGAAACAGGATAGTGTAACATGTGAAGAATGTCCAATAGAAATACTGCTTGATCGCAAAGTTTTTGATACTGTAGATGGAAGGGCAACTTCAGAAAGTAAACTAACTCTTTCTAGCTTTGGAACAGGAAGAACATTAGATATTCATTTCAAAACAGATTCCCAAATTGAAATATCTTATCACTCAGATTTTTCTACCTCCAAACCTCTTGCCTATCATGTTGGGATTGGAACAGATGAAGAACTGTCAGAACAAGGAAGCAGTTCTCTCAGTCAGTCACTTACTGAATCAGCCATTGGTCCTCACAGAGAAAAAGATTCATCCCATATTTTACCAGGTGATATAGAACAAAAAATGAAAAAAAGAGAAATGGGAACAGGTACATCTAGAAATGGAATATCAGAAAAATTTGATGCTGCCACAAGCCCCATCGTAGGACTCACTTCAGAAGCTGCCATATCAACAGAATCACCAGAAAAGAGTGACATAGCTTCAAGTCCACTCTTAACGGAGTCAAAAAGTATTGGCTTAAGTCCTATGTCAGATGCAGGGCTGGAGATTCTTAAAGAGGATATTTCTGCTCAAACTGTATCTCCAGGCTCCTTGTCAGTCAGTACTAGTCCTCTGGTAGAGTTGGACCCTAGTAATTTGGTTAGGTCAAGCATGGAAGAACTGAATTTACCAAATTTGCAAGATGAAACTAATCAATATTATTCCTTTGATAGTGACCTTGAATCAGAAGCAGGAATTGAACATAAAAAGATTGATGTTGGCAATGGCATAACTTTGAAAACTTCTTCACTTGACATAGTCTCAAAAATTGAATTACCAAAAGAAAACATACTACAAGAGCTAAAAGATGACAAATTAATGTTCTTTCAATTCTCAGATGAAACCTCAGTCTCAAAATCTAAACAGGAAACTAAGGAAACATCAGAGTTCTTAATTACAAGTAGTGTGCTTGAACAGCAAACAAAGAGGGAATTAGAAAAAATCAGTAAAGCTGTCAGCTTGAATACAACAGAAGGGAAAGAACATGATCTGACAGATGAAAAAGAATTGTTGCAAAAATCCATGAAAACAAATCCACAATTTAGTCCTGATGTTCTTTTTACAAGTTCACTTAAAAAAATATCAAAAGAAGAACAAGAACAAAAGGAAACAGACCATGAAACAAAGGTAGCAGAATCAGAGATGATGAAAAGAAAAACAGAACATGATATGGAAGTTGGAGAAATAGAAATAGAATCAAAGAAAACTAAAACAAAAGTTATAGAGCCAAAAATAGAATCAGAGAAATCAGAACCAGAAATTAAAGTTGGGGAAACACAAATAGATATAGAGAAAATAGAAAGAGAAATGGGAGTTAAAGAGCCAGAAAAAGAATCAAAGGAAAAAGAATCTCAAATTAAAGTTAGTGAAGCAAAAGTAAACTTGAATAAATCAGATCATGTAGTAAAAATTGATGAAACAAAAATAGAGCCAAAGAAAGCAGAATCTGAAATCAAATTTAAGAAGCCAAAAATAGAAACAAAGAAAAAAGAGCCTGAAATGAAAGCTGGTGAGCCAGAAGTAGGATCAATGAAAACGGAACCTAAAAACAAAATTGGTGAAACTGAAATAAAAACAAAGAAAGCAGAACATGATATGAAAATTAGCAAGTCAGAACTAGAATCGAAAAGAAAAGAATCTGAAATTATGGAACCAAAAATAAACACAATAGAAAGAGAACCTGAAATGAAAGTTGGTGAAACAGAAATAGAAGCAAAGAAAACAGAAATTGAAATGGAAGTTGAAGTATCAGAAAAAGAATCAAAGAAAAGAGAATCTCAAATTGAAGTTGATAAAGCAGAAATATATGCAAATAAATCAGAATCTGAAGTGAAAATTGAAGAAGTAGTAATTGAACCAGAGAAAGCAGAACCTGATATGAAAATACGGGAGTCAGAATTTGAATCAAGGAAAAGAGAATCTGAAATGAAAGTTGGTGAGCTAGAAGTAGAGTCAAAGGAAAAAGAATCTGAAGGGAAAATCTATGAAGCAAAAATAGAACCAAAAAAAGTAGAACCTGATATAAAAATTAGGGAGCAAGAATTAGAATCAAAGAAAACAGAAGCTGAAAGGAACGTTAAGGAGCCAAACATAGAAGCAAAGAAAAAATCTGAAATTGGTGAAGTACAAATAGTACCAAAAAAAGCAGTACCTGAAATGAAAGTTGATGAGTCTCAAGTAGAATTAAAGAAAAGAGAACCTGAAGAGAAAATTAGGGAGCCAGAATTAGAATCATGGGAAAAAGACTCTGAAATGAAAATTGGAAAGCCAAAATTAACATCAATGAAATTTGAACCTGGAAGAAAAATAAAAGAACTGGAAATAAAAACAAAAGAGTCAGAACTTGCAATGAAAATAGAAGAATCAGAAGCAAAGCCAAAGAAATCAGAACTTGAAATAAAGGTAAATGAACCAGAAGTAAGTGTAAACAAAATAAAATTTGCCTCAAAGTCTAGTGAATCAGAAATGTTTGTGATACCAGTAGATAAAGAATGTGAGTTTCAACAAACAGAGCTAGAGATTGAACAAACAATACAACATCATGAACAAGGTGAAAAAGACAAATTTGTAATAAGATCTAGCGTATTAAAATGTGAAACGGAGCTTGACTTTGGTTTGAAATCAAGAGAATTAGAAAAAAGACATGAAGCACAGCAAAAAGAAGAAACTTATAGTGTGTATGTCACAGAAGCAGAAGGATCAAAAACATTCTTTAAAGACATAAGAAGTAAAGATGTAGTAACTTCAGATATAATATCATCAGCAGAGTTTGATGTTTCAGAGATTTCAGAAACAGGAATAGATCTTATTTCTGAACAGCATGTTGAACGTGAAAAAACAGAAATAGAAATGGATTTTACTGGAAAGGAAAACAAACACTTTACTGGTGAAGAGCCACAAGGAGATAAGTTACAGACACAGCAAGTAGGAATCAGGTGTTTATTCATTGAAACTCCAGAGGAATTATCAAAGAGTTTAGTGACTGAGGTGCTAATAAAAGAATCAAAAGAACCGGATAAGCAAGTTTTTAAAAAGGAAGTTTTGAGATCATATGAAGAAATACAAGAAGGAAATGGTAGAACAGGAACTGTTTTAGCTGCTCCAGATAGTGAATACTATACCGAATCAACAAAAAATAGGGCAGTAACAACAGTTAAGGATGAAGGTTTGTCCCTTTTTAAGGAAGTGAAGCAAACATCAGAACAGCCAGTTGAATCGGATACAGTATTGTTTAGTGATGTTAAATTTGGCAATAGGAAAAGAAGCAGTATTTTAACTCAAAAAACGGGGAATAGTGCAGGAATTTTTCAGAAAGAGACAAAAGTTTATTATACAGAAAATGACCTTAGAGTAGGCACTCAAGAATTCACAGTTGAAATAGAAGAGGAAGCTGTTGATATGAAAAGTCAGGATATTCTAACACTGGAAGACATGTGCAGTGCCCTGTCTGACTTGCCTGAAACAGACAGCCTGACTTCAGTTACTTCAACATCATCATCGCTTGAAATGCTGACAAAGCAACAGGTAGCAGATACCATTACTTGTGTTTTATCATCAGCCAAAGAAGCATCTTCAGAACCAGAATCTATCCAGCAGGAAATCCCAGAATTTGCAATGGACCTTAAAAGAAAGGAGAATGAAAAGCAAAAACTTTTCCTCAAGCAGGTACATACAGTAGATTCAAGTGATTTTCAAACTTTCCAAAAATCTGCATCATTAAATATGGTGGATTTTACATTGTTTTCGGAACCATTAAATCACATTTCAGAATCAGAAACTACTGAAAGCTCAGGCTCAAGTGTTTCAACACAAAGAGAATGTTATCCTTTAACTATTGCAGGTCCATCAGAACCAACAATAATATCTGAAACTGATATCACCGAACAGAATAGTTCATTTCAGTGTGAAGATCTGTTGGATGATTGCATTAATGATAATGGTAAGAAATTGGAGGTCTTTGATGCTAGTAACTTTTCATGCATCAAAACTGATAGTCAACTTTCCCATAACATATTTCCTGGTAGCCAGCAATCTAAAAGTGATAAAATAGATGAAACTTTTGAAGAAACACAAGAGAATCTTAGAACCAGTTCAGTTGAAGTGGCAGTCCATAAAGAAGAACAAAGGGCTGAAAGTGTTGAATCATTTTCTATAGCAGAAAGTGTGATTGGTGTTGGTGAAGAGATCTTAGACTTGGATTTTTCAGAAGAGGTTGTTCCCAATGAAGAAACTGTAATGCCAACAAGAGAACGTGCTGAAATTGTAGAAACATTTCCCATGTCCTTTGTAACCTACCATGTACCGTCTTGTCATGTAGGAGAGGAGCAAATAATTTGTAAAAGTAAAGTTCTTCCAGAGAATCTAATGTTACAAGGAGAGACAAGCAAAGATCCCTTTTCTGAACAAAAACATTTTAAAGAAGATGAAATAGTTGACTCTTCTGAATATCTCTCGGAAAGAAAAAACATCTTGTACACATTTCCTTCATCTTACAAGGAGAAAATATGGGAGAAAAAGGAAGCAGAAACATCAGTGGTAACATCTTGTAAAGGTGAATATTACATTTCTAAAGTAAGAAACAAGCAGAAAAATACACGCTAAGATACTTAGTATTTCAAACTTCTCAGATTTACTTTAGAAAGGATCAAGTTTTCTTATAAGACCCTGGTAATACTTTCAATTTTCATCATTACTATTATGCCTCTATTAATATTTTCAATTTCTGGAAATATAATGCTGTTTTATATCATTTGTATTATTTCTCTTTCATTACCCTGGATTTATTAGCAGATTACTAAGATCAAAGTGTTATCATAATTAGTGTTTCAGAATGCATAAACTTATCATTAGTTGCCCTGTACTAAACAGTTTTAACTGAACTACAATTTAATGAAGTAATTAGATTGAATGTTTTTTGAATAAAATTAACTACACAAACAAAATATGTAACACTTTTTGTCTAATGAAACAAAAAAAAAAGCAATTCACATGTTGGTATAAATTTATAAGTTCTCATTGAAGTTTGAATTTAGATGGTGGAAAAATATATATATATAAGACCAAATAATTTTATGAATTTTTTACACTAATATATTAATCTATATATAAGTTATTAATGCCTATATCTAAATAATCAGGCATTTAAAAAAAATTAAAATACTTACATTCCAAACTTAACAGGAATGGAAGATAGGAGCACTGTCTTTGTCTCTCCTACATTGAGGATAGCTTGGAGTAATATTTTGTATAACAATTGTACCAGTTTGGTAGTGATGTAGTAATTTGTTTTATGTTGTACATTGCAAAAATATACAATATTTTTCTATCACTTTAACTTTATTATATGTATAATTGCACAGTGAAACAATACAGAATTGAAAAACACTTTACAACATTAAATGCAGAAATTCAATATATTAGGATTTTTTTTTTGCTTTGTTATTTTGTATGTATAATTTCTTCATATTTGAGTATTTCACATTTTTCATAGATCTTCAGTACCACCATCCTCTCCTCTTAAAGTGTCATTTCTTTAATTATGTACAAAACTAGTAAGTGTAGAATCAAACATCTTCAGTACAACCACTACTCCCTCCTTTTTCTTCTTCAGGTCTTTGTACTTCATATTTTAAACAACTCTTCAGTACCACCATTATATCTGCTCTTCACATTTGTCTCTTTCTTGAATGCCAAACAAATGGACTTAATAATTCACATTCTCGAAACACCTTCACAACCATCATTACATCTACTTTTCTCTTCTCTCTATCTTGTACACCAGACAAATGGACTTAGCATTTCATATATTCTAAACACCTTCAATAACACCATTACATCTGCTCTTCATGTCTCTCTTCCTTATACATGAAATAAATAGACTTAGCCTAATAATAAAGGTGAAGACTTAGCATTTCAGATTTTCCAAACATCTTCAGTATCACCATTACATTTCCTCTTCAGGTCTCACTTACATGTATGCAAGAGAAATAGACTTAGTATTGGACATTTTTCAATCATATTCTGTAACACCACATTTTCTTTTCCATTCTCACCTTCCTATATGCTGAAAACTTGTTTTTTGCTTTCTTTACCTCTGTTTTTCAGTATCTATTTTTACTGTTGTATTTATTTGACGTGTCCATTTTGGATCGGTTTTATTCATTTGCAACATTTTTATCTCCTTAAACCATTTGATACTATTAGAACTTTTTTTAATTTTACAGATTTGAAGTACTGAAGAACATTATTTTACTTGTGCTTACTAAGCTCTAAAGAAGGATTAATTTGTTTTTCAGGCAGAAAAACAAAATTCAAGTTATTTATGATCCTTCTCACCTTCATGTGCTTGGTCCTCATCTTTTTGTATTTTTTTGCATGGCTTTTTGACCAAGGCTGGTCTTTCTTGAATATTGCTGGTTACCATGTGGTTCTCTCAACTACTTTCCAGTTTTTCCTCCCCAGCCCTCCCCATTCTTTTAGCCTACCTGACTGGGTTCTTAATGTGTCTCTTCATGTCCCTTTAACTTTTTGTTCCTTGTATCATTTGTCCTTTAAAGCTTATTTATTCTTGTGGTCATTGGCATTCTGATGTGTAAACCATCAATTCTTATTGCATTCTATTCCATTTCTCCCATATCCTTCTCTATCCAGATCATGCTTTTGCCCCTAAAGCATCTGTGGCACATAGGTTAATAGTGCATTCACCCCTATATTTCTTCCTTTCATTTTCATCTTTATTCCTGTTCAGATCCCAGTTGCCTCCTCTGTCATGTTTGTATGGTCTGTTGTTATTTGGCCCACACTTCTTCCTTTCACAGTGCCCAATTCCATCTCTTCCTTCTATGGAATCCTTCATCTATTTGTGATTTCATTCTTTCACTCTCACTAGATGGGTCTAACTGCTTCTCTGTTTATTATATTCTTTGCTGGATGGAGAAGCATGTCAGCATTTCCAGATGTTCTCCCATCAAGTTTCTCACCTAATTTGCTCATTGGCTGGTCACTTCCATCACCTATTGGAGAAGATTGTTTGGGTTGGCATATAGATGACCTCTCACACCTTTGTCAAATCTGTTTCTTCCTTGTCAGGCTATGGATTGCCTCTGATTGCTGTTCTTCACACATCATATGTCTCTGATTAGGTCTTTTTTTGTACTCTCTTTTTCAGAACCTTCTAGTCCCTTACAGGGTCCTGCTCAGTGTCAAATGTTGCCTGTTAGAGAATACTTGATCAAAATCTGCAATGTGTAGGGCTGTCCTGGTCTGATATAGTGCTCACTCATGAGATGTGGTGTTCTACAAGGTCATTCGAGGGATCCTCAAAGTGCTCATTTTCCTAAACAAGGACTGATCCAGACTGTACCCACTATGAATGAGCATGAGTAAAACAGGCAGAAGATTCCTGCCCATCCTCCATGCCTAGTTCAAAACCTAGTGTTGGCCTGCTTTTAAAAATAGGGGTTTTCTGGTCACCCATTGCATTGTCTTACAGTGATGCACCTTATTGGACTCCTCACCACAGTTTTATTCTCCCCTTTTTTTATTCTAGAGGAGCATGGGAGCCCTTGCCACTCACCAGTTCTTAGCCACTGTGGTTATGAACCATAGAGTATACCTCCTTAGTGTGACCAATTCCACTCAGTAGAGAGTATGGAAGTGGTGTTCTGTCTGTGTAATACAATTAACCTCTTTGGCTGGCTTTCCCTCATCCTATTGCTACCAGGAAGTCGGGTTCTTGGGTGGTCTGGTGTTTGATTGCAGTAGGACCAGCCTACATAAATCTTTATTTATTTGCAGGGTAGATGTCACTCTCCCATCCTCCCTCATTGGGCTTGAGGTAAAGATGGTAGGGACTCTCCTTCTATTATGGCCCAGAAGCTAAATTCTTTGTGCTATCTAATTTTGGACTGGAGTTGACCCACTACATATGGTCTGATCTAGCCATACTACACATATAGCACTTCTGAAAGTCTGATGCAGGTTTTAGACTGTGCTTGTATCTTCTGCCAACCTTGCAACCCTTCCCTTCCTTTTTGGGTGAAGAGTATACCCTGCTGTAGATGAGGTGTAGTCTTCCAGGAGTGTGCCCCTATACTGTTACAAGATATAAGCTATCATACTCCATGGATTTTCTTTGAGTTATTCCTGATGGGGGCTCATCTAGGTAACATTTTGCAATGGTCCCATCACCTCTTCAACATGGGATTCTAGCTAGATGTGAGAAGAGGTTAAGTATTGCATCAGAAGTTAACATTTTCCAATGGACACTCACCTTTCTCACACTTCCCACACTTCTGGTGCACCTTGCTTTTTTGTCTAATCTTGAAGTTATGATTGAATAACCAGTATAGAGAGAACTTCTTAAGATCATATATCAATGTAGCAAGCTGTGAAAACTTGTTGTTAAAGAGAAGGTGAATAACTGCTTATTAACAAACAAGTACCCAGGGTATCCCTGAAAAAAATCGCTTAGTTAAAGTTAATTATATAATATAAGCTATAAAATATGGGTTCTTTAGTGAAACTTGATGATTAAATATAAAAAGTTCCACAGCAAATTATTAAGCTTAGCTATGGACTGCATAGATTCACCCATAAAACAGATGCCCTGTTTCTCACATATATAAGTAGTATATCTTCACTCACAGCCAGTTATTCTGCTAATCTAGTTAGGATATATTTCAAGATTAGAAAACATTAATATGTTATTAAATGTAGCATTTTCCCTGGGCATTTCATGTGAATATAATTTATTAATCAATTCTGATCTTTGTTAAGGATGAAATAAAGAAGTAAAGGATTTTTTCAAAAACTATATATTAGTAATTTCATGTTTTTGTTTTTATTGTGATTTTAACTGGTTTTGTTAAGCAGCAAAGAGGAAAACAAATTTAAAACAGAAACTTCTGATAACATTTCGAATTTTAAAATTTTCTTATCAACCTAGATACTCTAGTGGTAAAACACTACATTTAAGTAGGCTTTTCTTTAAAAAAGATAAAATACATTTTGTTATTAGGTAAAAAGTTTACATTTTGGGCAGCATGTATATAGCTGGATCACACACACATTCTCAGGAGTAGGTACAGGTAGTCAGGGTTAGAGTATAATATGTTGCCCTGTACCTGTAGTGGAAGATTCCTGAAAATAGAGACCAGTAATAGCCAATGACTGGAGAAACTTCTGGTGCTAAGAGCCTCTACACCTACATCTGTAGCATAAACCAAGTCTCAAAACTGGCCTAGTCAGCGAGTATATTGGGAGAATCAAAACAACTCTAGAACAGCATAATGGGAACACAAATATGGTAAGGAAAGATAAAATTTAAAGCACTAAGATGTTCCGCTACTTAGTTGGAGCTTGGAGAATCATCTAGAGAATGGTTGTCTCATTTCTGATATCTCAAATGCTATGCAAAACATGCATATGGAGGTGGGAAAAGCACCAGCTGAAGCATTGTCAGCCACCAGATGCCATCCTCTGTCTTCTTCCAGAGAGCATCACACTCTAATGGAGTACCAGTGTAGAAGGTGGTCTTTTGTCTATATGACA